ACTGACGCCAGCTTCTGACCCGTGAAGCAATACGCACAGAAAACAAGTAACTTGCCGATGCCCTTGGCCTCGAGGGTGGCCAACAGGAGCCTGCCCGCACAACCTGGGGGCGATATGTCCCAGTGTCGCTGTCCAGCTGCAAGGGTGACGCCGACGCAGGCAGGTATCGCCAGCATGACGCCCGCCGAGGCCCCTCCATTCGGGCCGTCCGTCGCTGGCGCGGGCAGGGCCCTCCAGCCCAAGGGCAGCAGGGCCCGTGCGCTCTCTTCGGCCCACAAACGCCGCTTGCCGTGCTCCTGGAAACCGATGATCGGAATCTTGCCCTCGGTGAGCTGCTGGTGTGCCGCTCCGTGGAGGTAGCCCACAACGTTGCCCCAGCTGAGGCTGGCGTTGACACTGTGGAAGGTGAAGCGCCTGTGGCTCCGCTGTCGACGCTTGCCTCTACGAGCTCCTGCTGCTGGGGGTCGATACTTGGCGACGTCGCACTGGGGCTTTGCCGAAGTCCCGCTGCAGGTGGACTGGCCGCCGACGCTGCCGACGCTGAGGTCCTTGCCCTCGGTAGGGTGTGCCACAGCCTCCTGCGCCGTGCCGACGATGCATGTCTGCCCAGGGCCGCGATGGCTTTCCCCAGATGAGACAGCTGAGCCAGCAGAAACAAAACCTGACGCAAGCACCGCCTGACTGCCTCCGTGGGCAGAGCCTCCACAACCTGCTGTAACCACTGGGTCCGAGAAACCACCAACTGACGTAAATTGCGCCTGAGGGCCTCCAGTGGCCAGGAGAGACTCGCCTGTGAGAACAGCAACGCCCGAACACCCACCAACTGTCGTAAGCTGCTCCTGAGTGCCTCCAACGGCGACAGAAAAACCCTCAACAGGTGAGGCATCTGAGCCAGAGGGGCCGCGGCTTGACGTAAATTGCACCTGAGTGCCTCCAGCGGCCAAGAAACCACCATCCGTGGGTACTGTGGAGCACGAAAGACCACTGGCTGAACAAAGCTGCCCCTGGGTGCCACCGTCAACGGCCGAGAGTCCATCGCCCGTGGAAACAGCTGAGTCGTAGCAAACACCAACTGACGTAAGCTGGTCTGGGCTGCCTCGGACGGCAGAGAGGCCAGCAGGTGAAATGCTTGGGGCAGCTCCTCGGTGCTCGTCCGTGCGGTTGCACGCGGCTGGGGTGGGAGTGAGCTCGGTGCAGTCACCTGGCGAGGCAGAGCAGAGCCCCGGCTCCTCCGAAGTCCCAGTCGAGGTGGATGGGCCGAGCTCGGCCTCCAGCACCTCCGCGGCGCACAATCTCCAACAGTGGATGCGGTCGTCGAAGTAGACGGTGGGGGCCTGTGTTGCCGGCGTGGCCTGGGACTGACGGTCGAACCACCGCTCCGCGGCTGACTGGTTGCGGTCCTGCTGAGCCGCCTCACGCTCAAAAGCCTCCTGATTGGTAACCTGCAGATGCTCTAACCATTGCCGCTGGAGGCGCCTGGCCTCCCCTCCACGGTTCCAGGCTTCGTCACCCAACTCCCGTGCAGTCCTCATGCGCTCGGCAATTCGGGATCCGCTGCCCGTGGTGGCTGCCAGGTCGTCCAGCATGGCTGTGTACTCCCCAGAGCTCAGCTGGTGGAAGATGTACGGTACGCAGTAGGAGTCCCAGTGCCTGCGGTCCTGAGCCTCGGCCCCCACAGACGGGGGGCGCCAGCGCCGAGCCATGCGGCGCATACGCGTGGCCAGGATGGCCAGCTGCCGTCTGCCCAGGCGGACGAGTCTGGGCTCTCGTGGCTTGGCCACTGGCGGTGCATCAGGTCCCCAGGGCTGGGCCTTACGCATCTGCGCCCCCAGCTGGGACGGCGGCTGCTGCTTCCAAGTCCCGCCTGAGCTGAGCCAACTTGGCTGCGCCATCGGGGCCGCGGAGGCTGGGTGGCTCTGGAAGGTGAGCAACAGGAGGCCCAGCAGGGGCCCCAGGCGGCACAGGGGCAGGGGCCTGGGCTGGGGCCGCGGCGGCCGCTGGGGCCTCCGCGGGGCCTGCTGCCGCAGGGCCTGCGGCTGGCTCCTGGGCTGGCGTCTGGTCTGCTGCTCCTGCCGCCTCGGTGCGTGGCCGCTTGCGCCTGGCCAGCAGCTGCTGGTGCTTGGCGTCGATCTCGCTGCGCCTCTGCTCCAGCTGCGTCTTGGCCTCCCCGAAGGTGGTGCGCACGTGCTGCTTGACCTGCTCGACGAAGCCTTCCAGGGACTTGTTGAACTCCTCGCGCTCCGCGTCGGTGATGTCCAGGTCGGGGTCGTCCAGCCTGAAGGCGTCGCCTGCCTCGACCTGGAAGTCATCCGCCAACAGCGCCGTGACGTTGAGGCCCACGGCAGGCTGAGCCTTGGCGCCAGACTCCTGCGCCACCTGCGCCTGCACCTGGATGCCCTTGGGCGCGGCTGCCTTGTAGGCCTCCTCCACCTCCACGTCGCACGCCAGGACGAGCTCCCCAGCACGCACCTCCTCCTCGCGGCAGGCCTGGAGCCACTGCTCAGCGTCGCGAACCTGCTGGGACTTGGAGAGGAAGGCGGCTTGGGCCCGCCTCTGCTTGGCCTGGGCGCGGTTGAGAGCCACATCTGGCAACACCGTGGCCGCAACGGGCGGTGGTGCGACGGCCTTCTTGATGGCCTCGAGCTGCAGGCCGTGCTCGGGATGCCTGGCCGCCAACGCCGCGAGGCACTCTGCGTCCGACGGCGGGGCAGGCTGCGGCAGTGGTGCCTCGTACCCGATCCAGTCGTCCGAGTGCACCCACGGCTCGCGCACGAAAGACCACGCCGATGCCCGTAGCTGCGGAGGCTTGTCCACTGCTGCAGGCTTGAGCGGCTTCTTGCAATTGTAGCAGTCCATCCTGGCCTTGAAGTTCCACTTGTACGAGCAGTTCGCACAGCGGACGTAGTCCAGGGGGTTGCCTCCGCTCGCGTTGGTCTTGCCTGCCTTGCCAACTCCTTTGCTCTTGCCTTTGCCGCCGCCACCCTTGGCCCGCGGCTCGGACCTGGCCCTCTGCGAGGAACTGGACATGGCGAGTGGGCAGCGCACAGCCTACCCTTTGCCAAAACACGAATCAAAACTGTCGGGCCGAGAGGCCCTGGCACTGGCCGCGGACTAGCGGTATCCACTCGTTCCCCTGTGGAACAGATCATCTTGAGCCAAAATGGCTACTGGTGTGTGTGTGTGTGTGCGTGTGCGTGTGTGTGTGTGTGTGTGTGTGTGTGTGTGTGTGTGCGTGTGTGTGCGTGCCCATTCCCAACCCAGATGGTACTCGCTCAAACCATGCTGTTTTATGATGATACACAATGCAACGTTACGCAATGCTATGCCATGGTACGCATGCCTTGCTCTACGCTGTGCTGTTCAAAGCTGCACAATGCTACTATCTTCTGATATGCTGGGCGGAAATGTGTTGCGAATCGCTACGGTATCCTGTGATCCAGCGAAACAGGGAGCGACCAAACTATCATCGCGATCGCGCCGCCCGAACCATAACAGTTCTGGAATCCCGACGCCAGTTCTGCACTTCCTGGGGGAGCCTGCACAGCTTATTCTGGAACCGTACAATCGAAAGATAATCGGACGGCAGCCCAACCCATCGTGGAGGAATGGTCCCTCTACGCTGGCCGCGGGGGGTTCAAGAGAGAGCAGCAGAGGCCCGCCACAGGGCGGCCCGGGTTGGCTCCAATTATGGCGGGTTCCGGGAACCCTGAGACCCCCAAACGTCCCTTTCTTGGGGACGCTTCCCTTCATGTCCGCTCTCGTTGTACTTCCGCCGACCTTCCGATGAAGCAGAGATTTGAACTTCTCGATTCCCCGAAGCCGAAGCAATGTCTGGAACGCCCCACATGACCCAGAGGGGCCGCCACACACGCTTCCCAGGCCGCGGCGACCAGACCGTCGAGGGCTAGTCGAGTGCTCGATGCACCGCGGGCTGCCATCCTCCGCGCAGCTTCCACCGCCAAGGGCCAATCGCGCCCGCGTGCGCCGGCTGCATCTTTTGGCGCCCCGCCGCACCGCGCAGGGTCCGAGTGTGCACCATCGTGCTCCTCAGAAAAAGAGCTGCTCTTGCAAGCCTCGGCCAGCATCGGATGCCGGAGAATCGTCCAATCGCGGAGTGCCCGTGCCCAATCCGAGGACGCTTGAAAAATGATGCCGTGCACCTGGTCGCGTCAGCGGCTGCCTGACCTGACGCTGCCTCGATCGACCCTCGCCTACCCAATTCGTCCGTCAGGACAGGGGTGAAAAGGAGCAAGTGATTGACACAACTTCATACGCGCTCACTCGTTCAATCGAATGAGCGCGGCAGTGAGTCAAAACATCTGCGCCCAGGAATTTTTCTAGGCATTCAACGTGGGCAGCCTTCGGAGAGGGGAGGGCGGGGAACACAGACGTTTTTATTTTCTCCGGGGTCCTTGATCTGGATGGAAACGGTGCGTTCCCGCCGCAAGGCCGAACACCGCCTGACAATACCGACGCCTGAGGACTCGGGAGACTTCTGGAGATCGCTGGCAACTGAACTGGATCTCTTTTGCGGCTGGATCCATATTCTCCGTCTTTCACAACCAACAATAATCCCTAATCGTATTTCACTAAAAAGGTTTCTGGTGGTGGTAAAAGAAGACCACCGAAAAGTCTCTTAGGTCGACAGGGAGCCCTGGAACGTTTTGGTCCGGCAGCCACGTCGTCTGAGACTTACTCATGATCTCGTCTCAATGCATGCCAGCCACACTTTTGGTCTGGACGGCCGCGACTCGTTGTAACACGCGGTTGTGACACATGGCCATGCTCTCACCCCTGACCCCAACAAATTCCTATTCCTCGACCCGTTTCTTCCCCTTTGCTGGTGTTCGGGTTCCCTGCTAGGGTAAATGTTGCTGGAACGGAACATTCTGTTCGATGGAAGTGAGCCTCGTTTCCCGTCTGACGCGGCGCCTCGGCCCACGGCCGGCGCCACTCCATGGCTGGGGATGGAGGCGTTCCCAGAGCTGTCGCGGCAGCGCCTACTGGAGGCCCCTGACAGCCAGCTCAGCCATGTCAAAGTTGCACCCGATGGCGCCGTCGACCTGGGGAGGAAGACGAGGAGGAAAAGGAGGAAGGGGAGGAGGGAAAAAGAGGTGGTGGGGGGGAAGGACCAACGTAAACACAACATAGAGGTGGCGGGGGGAAGGACCAACGTCAACACAACATACATCATCGATGTTGCAAGACCATCAAAAGTTATAGTTAAGAAGCGCAATCGATGCAAGGCCCGTGGACGTCCATGTCGATTTTTTTGTTCGAGCGTGGCTGGCCATCGCGCGTGGTTCAGGATGGACCGAAGAGACAAGGGTGCAAAACTATCGTTGGAAAGGCTGCACATCCTTACGATCGGTTTCGAGTGTAAGCGCTCCCTCGAAATTCCCCGGCCACCGGTCCCCGAAGCACTTGAGTTTCATTGCGGGACTTGGCCCATTAGAAGAAAACCGTCTAACAATCCAGAATCGTGCGAGAAAAAAAAAAAAAAAAAACCTTCCTGAGACTTCAACGCAGCGGATCAACGCGACTGCTGCGTCCTAGCAACCCGACTTCTGCCAGAGCGCCAGTCCTGTGGGTTCAACACCGCGAATCCACGTGACTGCCGCGTCCTGACAGTTGAAGTCGTGCCAACGCACGAAGCCCGGGACTTGGAGCAGATGGGTCCTTGCCTATCCCGATCCCTAAGTGTCATAGAAATACGGGACAGGACGGGCGTGGTCGCTACCCGCCAGCGAAAGGCACGCACGGTCTGGCCGACGGCTTGGTGCGACATGCGCATCTGTCCTGATTCACACCCCTGCCCAGTGCACACCCACCTGGTCTCCTTGGCATGCTGCGCGCCCCAGAATCGAACACACATTCGCTGTCGCGGCGCATGTGGCAAGAAGTCGCTCGGGTCCGTGAGAGGCTGTCGCCTTGTCGCCCTCGGATCCCAAAGAGTTCGACTCCATGCCCGTGGCACAGTCCCCCTCTTCCCCCGCCTCCGCCTCCGCCTCGTCCTCCCGCCCCTCGATCTTCCTCCCCTCCAGCTCGTCCTCTCCCTCGCATGCGCGATGCGGCACCCTGGCCTGGTCTGGTCGTGCGCACCCAAGTGGGGCGCGTCGTGCCGACACCCTGGGCAAATGACAGGCATGGCTCCGTCCCAATAAGGGCTTTGGCAGTGAGGCAAATGCTCGACGCGCGTGCTGGCACTGCGGGGGCCAGGTCCCGCAATTACGAAACAGTTTTAGGGCCCAGCGCGCCTGCCTCCACGCCAACCAGCGGCGCGCAATTGCGCGGCGCAGATGGCGCATGCAGCCTCTACGGTCCCCACCTGCGCCCACATAACCTTTTCTGCGACCCGGCGACGGCGAGGAAGGAAACGAGGGCAAGGAAAACGACGCCGACGGCAACGACGACAGCGGGGACGGCGGCGGCGGCAGCAACAGCAGCGGCGACGGCAGCGACGCCAACCACACCGACGCCGCCGACGACGCAAGCAGCGGCGGCGACAACGGCAGCGGACTCGACGGCAGCGCACACGACGGCAGCGACGACGACGACGACGACGCTGACGACGACCAGACGAAGAGCTCCCCCTGCTCCGCCTCCTCCTCCTCCTCCTACTCCTCTATCTCCTCCTCCCAAAGGATCCTCCTCCTCCTCCTCGCCCTTCTCCTTTTGCCCTCACTTCCATCACGCCGCCCATTCCCCCTCCCCTCCTCAATCCCTCATCCTTGTCCTCCTCATCCCTTCGTCCTCCTCATACCCCATCGTCCTCCCTGGAGGCTCGCCCAGTCGGGGGGGGGGCGGCGGCCCTAACGTCATCACTCCTGGAGCGCAGCAGTGCGACGGGAACACGGCAGGGAGGACGGCAAGCACGGACGGAGGGGGGGAGGGGGGGCTGAAGTGGGATGGCGATCAAACGATGACAAGACATGTATAATCCATCGTACAATCCAAATGAATGAACGTTTGACCGGATTAGGCCCGAGTAAGACTGGGATTAAGCCGGAGTTCGCTAACTAAATCAGATTCAGCCAGATTAACCAAGATTGAACGGATTAACTCCGATTCGGCCAGTCTTCGATCAGGGAAGACCAGCGCGGACTCAGAATTCATTCTCCCAGGAGTTGCAGCCTGTTTTAGATCATCCAACGGGTTAACGATTCGGGAAACATCTGCTGTCGCCGTGAGTCTTTGTGGAGAGGGTGGGCCGATCGAAGAACCTTGATGACGTCTACCGCCACGAACAAATGTGGAACCCAATGGATCAATCATCGCACAAGGCGCTGCTGCGTGACGGCCCCCCTTGGGCAATTTTTGGCCTCCGTAGCTGGTTAGCCCAGCCCATGCCGCTCCCGGCGCCGGAGGCGCCAATGCATCGAGGAGAAGGCCTGGCGGCGGAGAAAACAGCTGCGCGCAGCAGATGACACTACCCTTTTTCGTCCGTTTCGAGACAAACGCTTTGGAGAGAGAGAAGGGAGGCCACCACAATTTTTATTGTCACCGCAATCCCGCGATCCCCGCATTCGCAGATTGCGGTCGTCCGCGCCCTCGCTGATGACAACACGCAGCCCATGCAGTCGAATTTCCTCGTCTTCATACAACTGCACATCCCAGTTCTGCCCATTATCCCTCCCCCATTCCATGCTCGCAAAGAGAATCGACACCGACACATCGCAAGCAGCAAGAGGAAAATCCTCGTGATGATGTGGTGCCACTGCATTCCCTGGCCCTGCTCAAGACACCCCCCATTTATCCAGCTCGGGCAGATCATCGTGGACCTCCTCGCCGGGCGATGCCGCGGAGGTGGTGCTGGTGTCATTTCTCCCACCCGCCGACGTGATGCCCCTCCCAGCCTGGAGGCTGGGGGTCAGGCAGGCTGAGGGGCGCTCGGAGTGTAGTCGGCCAAGGGTGCTCGGAGTGCGCACCCCACAGCTCCCCAGGCTGTGGGATTCTGCAGTGTGTACGTATACACCAAAGTCGTTCGCCAGGCTCCTTGGCTCCCTGATTCGAACCACACGACATTAGAGGAAGAAAGAACTCTACAAACAGGAAGTTTCACCAGCACACGCGGACTCCATGGTTAGGCGATGGACCTGCCTCCCTGGGGGCGGCAGGGGCGTCGCCGAAGGCGGTCCATCGCCGATCCGAGAAATCCGTTCCTTCTTCAACAAGTGGACTATATAGGAGGCACATGCGATAAGGAATCCTGCTGTCAGAAATCTGGGGGCACATTCTTCGTCTACCGTTTATTGACCCTGAGATGCCCCAGGTTTCTGTGAACACCCAAGGGCATTGGGGGATCAGAGACTTCTGCGGGGAACCTGCTGGCAGGCCAGTTTCTCGTTTGGCATGCCTGCTGCAACCAGCCTCGAACTTGCTTATTATCCCCATCCCTAAGATCGGCATGCCCGAGGCGACGACAATCTTAGGACTGCGCCCCCAGAAACGGAAGGAATCCTCAAGATCGGCGGCACCGAGGTACGGTGGTGCCAACCAGAGGGGACGAGGGAGAATGCTTCAAGCAGGCCGTACTGTACATCGCGCCCCTTCGACGGACCAGGCGGCGTCCGCCGCGGCAGGCAGTCACGCCCCGCCCGCGGCCCTGATGCGCCCGTCGACCATGCGAGCGGCGAGCTTCCCTTCGCGCTCGGGGTCCGTGGTGCCGTCCGGCCTCACGGCGCCGACCCAGAAGTGGTGGAAGGAGGCGGCGGCCCCGCTCTTCGGCGCCACGCCGTTGTTGGGGCACGGCGCCCAAAAGGGGGAGCGGTCGCGGTAGGAGCCGAAGTGCGGGTGGGCCGTCTTCGACGCGAAGAGCCAGCCCTGGTGAGGGGCAACGCTAGAAGGGGACTAGCTTCTAGGGGGAAGCCACCAAGCCAGAGTCGTGGCCGTCGCCAGTAGGTCGGCGACAGGCCCCCAGTAGCGAATCCGTAGGTTACTGGGCGGGGTGGGCCATCAGGCCCCCATCGGAAGCGGATGGGCGATTAGGTCGATGCACCCCGCCCCCTGAACCTATCCCCACTAGCTAGGAAGCATCTCCTGGGAGGCCCTTGCAACAACGCTCAGAAGCTACTGAGCCCGACTGGGACGACACTAGCCGAATTCGTGGTGAGAATTCTGCATGTTGCGTTGTTGTTCTTGATGCTGTTGTTGTTGTTCTTGATGTTTGTTGTCGTCGTCTCACCCGCGACCCACCCTGCGACCCACCCACGACCCACCCCGCGATCCACCCGCGACCCACCCCGCGACCCACCCTCAAGGGAGGAAAACGCCACCCGGGCGCGACAGTTGACGTTTACTAAACGGCCCTGGGCGTTGACTAAACAGCCCTGCCCTGTTCGATGAATTCCTTGTGTGCGTTTGCTAAACGGCGTCGCTTGTCGGGGTGATTATTATGGGGTGGATTTTCTGCCCTCTACACCCACGACCCACCCGCGACCCAACAGCGACCCATTTGCGACCCACCCGCGACCTACCCACATTGGTTTAACGAAGAAATCTGCGCCCGCGGCGGGCTCGTTGTATACTTTGTAAAACTTTGGCGCCTGCGGCGGGCTTCTCCAGAGCCTCGCAAACTGCCGACGTCCCCACCGCCCCCTCACTCTCATCCGCATCTGCGGGGTGCTAGCGCTGAGTTATGCTTCGACATGGATTAATCGACCACGACGTTCGACGCCGAATTGAGGCTCACAAGATTTGCATCCTGACCCAAAGGTCGCCCCCGACCTGAAGCTCGTGCTCCCGCGCCACGGCGTCGCTCAGGGCGCTGCCGAGGGAGCAGCCCTGGAAGTCGGGGTGCACCACCGTCCTGTGCTCGCGGGCCCCAGGGCGACGCGCCCACGACAGCGGCAGCGCGAGCCACCTCTCCTCCGCGAAGCGGGCATGTATCCATCACCGCCGCCGGAAGGATCCGTTTCTACGGGGACCTCGGAAATCGCTGGGAACTACTTACACATGACAGAACAAAGAAGAGAGAGAGCGAGAGAGAGAGAGAAGGCGGTAACATCAAACACTAACAACAGCAAGCCACATCAAATCTCTGTTAGCTAGCGTTGCCCCCAAATCGTGCATGTCGCAGAATAGAGTGCGCCATCTACGTGGGACAACATGTGATGAACTTTGCGTGGCGCACCATATCAATGCAATCCATATCGTGCGATACACGCTGCTCACCGTAAGCGGTGCAACCTTAATGGAGAAATGCATGTGAGGCGACATTTGAACTGCGACGTATGTGGCGCAATATAGAATATGCAACATGTTGGTAATTAGATATTGTGCGATCTAGATGGTACATTCCATGTGGTGCACAATGTCTGTGGTGCTATCTATGTGGTGCGCAACGTATGTGGTGCAAGCGACCTGGTGCACTCTGCGTGGTGCAATCTATGTTGCGCATCTCGCCTTGCAGAACTTGAAATTGACAATTCCACTGCTCGCGCAATCATCCCACCCACCCGCCCGCAAATGAGTTTGCAAAACCCATGCGGGGGCGAGTGCGACGAAGGCTTGGTGTTGGCTTGAGTATTTTCTCGGCCTCGCTAGCCCGCGCACGCTCGCGAGCCCAGCGGCCAGCTAGTTTGGCGCGACCGACGCGGCAGCGGTGGCGCTGATCGCTGGGCGCTTCCCAGCGGACACTGGAATACGAGTCGGCGACTTAGGCGGGCGCGGTATCATTGCAACGATGGCGACGGTAAACACGAGCAACGATGCTGGTGACAATGGTTGAATCGACGACGGCATGGCCAATGACGGCGCCGATGCTGACCACGCCGGCGACGATAACGGCGTCCTCGCGACGGTGATGAAAGTGAAGGGAGAATTCGACATGCGCGCGCGGCCGGTGGGCGAAAGTGGCTCGCATGGAACTATTTTGCACGGGTCGTGCCAACCCCCAAGTACGCGCGGAATTGCGTTCGAATGATGTCGACATGCGGCGCGGGAGGCCCGATTGGCAGAACTTAAAAGGCATGTTGAAACACCTATGGTTCTCCACAAAATTCAAGAGCGCCAGCGCAGCTTTCGTTTCAAACCTGGCGTTGCAAAACCATGTGTTGTTTTTTGTTTCTTCTCTTCCTTATATAACAAATCAAAAAAACGGGCACTCGATTTGGAAATCCGGACGAGACCGAAGATTTTGAAGGATTCTGGCGTGTGCCCGCGACGACGCGCGCGTGTAGGGGTCAAAAACGGTTTCGACATTCGCGCAGGGGCGCTCGAACGATTTCGACATGCGCGCGCGAACGGCCCGTTTGGTAGCATGTTATGGACATATTGAACAACCTAAGTTTGTCGTCAGAATTCCCCAGAGCACGGGCGCAAACGGTGTTTTGAAAAACCCGCGCTGCGGAATATTTTTTTAACACAAGAAAGCATGTTTTCGGGACACACGATTTTGAAATCTGATCGAGCCTCACAATGTTTGAAATATGTTGGCCTGCGCGCGCGACAACGCGCGCGTGCGCACCACGTCCCAATTCCGCCAGGGATTATTGAAAACGAATGATTGATTGTTGATAAACGAATGCGTGCGCATAGTGTTTCTTGCAAACGATGTGGGTGGGGGCCGATACCCGCCTGCCTGGGATGGTAGGAGTTCATATGCAGGATGGACGATGGGGCGGAATCATAGGAAAAGTGCGGTACGAAATAAAGGGAGTCGTTGTTTTGCAAAGTAAGCTGCGACCGGGCGGCGACAGAAGCAACATAGCCGCCAGACCGGCAGAAAGGCCCATACGACGGGCGGCGAAGAGGCGGCGACGGGGTGGCGACGGCGGCAACATTGCTGTCATACCGTCAGACGTGCACAGGACGACGGGCGGCGACGAGGCGGCGACGCGGCGGCGACGGCTGGCACGGAGCCACCAGGTAGACACATAAGCCCAGGCGACAGGCCGACTATGCGGCGACGGGGCGGCAACGGCCAGCACAGACCTGCCAGACCGACTCACGGGCCCAGCCCTTTATACCAGAGATAAGAAGCCATAAATGCAATCACTGTGAGCGGAACGATAACCAGCGTGGACTTCAAATGGTATGTTTCTAGCAATCTACGCTGTGTGGTACAATCTATGTGGTGCAAGTGCGTTGCGCAATCTATGTGTTGATCTATCTACGTGGTGCAGTCGTTGGTGCAATCTACGTGGTGCAACCTGCGTTATGCAAACCATGTTTTGTGCAGTCAACTTGGTGCAATCCACGTGGACCAATCCATGTGGTGCAATCTACGTATGTGGAGCAATTCGATCAGAGAAAGGATGGGCTCTGTTTGTGTTCGGGACTCGGTTTTCTGTTATTTACGGGGTCAAGGGGACAAGGCGGACAGCGACGACAACAACGACGACGAGGGCGACGAGAACGAGGGGGAGAAGGAAGAAAACGACGACGAGTGGGCGGAGGGCCAGCACCCCCATCCGTCCTATCGGCCCAAGCCAAGAGCGAGGACAGCAGGAAGCACCGCATTGGAGTCACATTGAAGCCATCCTGACACAATCGTGGAGTCAACTCGAGTTTAAAGGGATCATCTTGGGGCAATCTCGAAAGCGTCTCGGGCTCATGGGGCCGGCCCGGGCCACCTCGAAATAACATCGGGGTCACGCCTGAGTCCTGTCGGCAGACAATGGGTTCGTCTCAACGTTCTCTTGGGGCCGCAGGGTCGCTCTGGGGTCATATTGGGGCCATTGCTTAGCAGTGGTGGGCATCTTGGGGCGACAGGGAAATCTCGTGATCCTTTCAAAACCCTTTTGGGTCCATCTTGGAATCGTATTTCCGTTGCTGCCTCTCGTTGCTGTTGCTACAGATGATGCTGTTGCTGCTGGCGCTGATGCTGCTGGTGCTGCCTGGGCTGCCCGTGCTGGTGCTGGTGCTGTGTGAAATTTCGGGCCCTCTTGGAGCCATCTTGGGGCCATCTTGGGGCCCTCCCGGGCCTCTTGGGACCCTGCGGGAGCCCTCTGATGGCGCTTGAGAGGCCTCCAAGAGGGCCAAGATTTCGACACACATTTAATACAAGCCGCTTCCTTATTGGGAAGCGGCTTGTTATCAATTTGTGTGGCTATGTTGGGCCCTCTTTGAGCCATCCTGGGGACCCTGGGGGCCCTCCTGGGCCCTGTTGGGGCCCTGCTGGGGCCTTCTAAGGGATCGGCATCGACCCGTTTCAGGTTCCAGAATCACCCTGGAACGGTTCCGGGGTGAAAATTGGAACCTGAAACGGGTGCTTCTCCATCTGGGCGCTCTCCAGAGCCTTGCGGGCGCATCTCGGGGATGGGGGGAAGTGCAGCCGAGCCCCCAAAATGGCAATTTTCCAAATGACATCTCTTATTGGGGAGCTTGTTTTTCGCGGCTGGGCCCTCCCGCGCAGCGTCGGGAGGTCCCAGATGGATTTTCACCCCAGAACCGTTCCAGGGTGGAAATCCATATGCGAACTCTCTCCCAACGCAAAACGGCTCTCTCGGGCTCGGGGGGGGTGTACTCGAGCTCTCAAAAACTGACATTTTCCAAATGAAAATCTCTTGTTGGGGAGCTTGTTTTTCGCGACTGGGCCCTCCCGCGCAGCGTCGGGAGGTCCCAAAAGAATTTTCACTCCGGAACCGTTCCAGTGTGAAAATCCATAGGTGAACCCCCACCAACGCAAAACAGCTCTCTCGGGGAGAGGGAGTGTACCCGAACTCCCAAAATGGCAAGTTTCCAAATGAAATCTCTTGTTGGGGAGTTTGTTTTTCGCGGCTGGGCCCTTCCGCACAACGTCGGGAGGTTCCAAATTGATTTTTACCCCAGAACCGTTTCAGGGTGAAAATCCATCTGGGAACCGTCTCCCAGCGCAAATCGCCTCCCTCGGGGATGGGGGGGGGTGTACCCGAGCTCCCAAAATAGCAAGCTTCCAAATGACATCTCTTATTGGGGAGCTTGTTTTTCGCGGCTGGGCCCTCCCGCGCAGCGTCGGTAGGTCCCAAATGGATTTTCACCCCGGAACCGTTCCAGTATGAAAATCCATGTGGGAACCCTCTCCCAACGCAAAACGGCTCTCTCGGGGATCGGGGGGGGTGTACACCCGAGCTCCCAAAATGGCAATTTTCCAAATGACATCTCTTATTGGGGAGCTTGTTTTTCGCGGCCGGGCCCTCCCGCGCAGCGTCGGGAGGTCCCAAATGGATTTTCACACCGGACCGTTCCAGGGTGAAAATCCATCTGGAACCCCCAGCGCAAAACGCATTCCTCGGGGACGGGGGGGTTACCTGAGCTCCCCAAATAATACTTTTCCGAATGAGATCTCTTTTGGGGGAGCTTGTTTTTCGCGGCTGGGCCCTCCCGCGCAGCGTCGGGAGGTCCCAAATGGATGTTCACCCCGGAACCGTTCCAGGGTGAAAATCCATCTGGAACCCTCTCCCAACGCATAATGGCTCTCTCGGGGATGCGGGGGGGGTGTACCCGAGCTCCCAAAATGGCCATCTTCCAAATGAAATCTTTTTTTGGAGGCTTGTTTTTCGCGGCCGGGCCCTCCCGCGCAGCGTCGGGAAGTCCCAAATGCATTTTCACACCGGAACCGTTCCAGGGTGAAAATCCATTTGGAACCCTTTCCCGGCGCAAAACGCTTCCTTCGGAGATGGAGGGGTGTACCCGAACTCCCAAAATGGCCATCTTCCAAATGACATCTCTTTTTGGGGAGCTTGTTTTTTCGCGGCTGGGCCCTCCCGCGCAGCGTCGGGAGGTCCCAGATGGATTTTCACCCCGGAACCGTTCCAGGGTGAAAATCCATCTGGGAAACCTCTCCCAACGCAAAACGGCTCTCTCGGGGATGGGGGGGGTGTACCCGAGCCCCCAAAATGGCAATTTTCCAAATGAAATCTCTTATTGGGGGAGCTTGTTTTTCG